TCTCTCTCTCTCTCTCTCTCTCTCTCTCTCTCTGGAGCTATTTTTATAGAAAAATTTTAGCAATTTCCGATTTAATTAAAGACATATCGTTGTTACGAGAATCATCGATGATCATAATACTCGTGAAAAAAAGAATAATTAACTACGATGATTGCTACATCACGTGTTATCGTTATATTACTATATTTTTGATGTTTCTTAGAGGAAACGCGATAATGAACTGTTACCTGTCGCGCTCTTGAAATATCTCTAATTATCCGCACACAATCATGTTTCGTGATTTCTCCAAAGAAAAATAACGAAATACACCGGATATCAATGGCGGTTGTTAAATCTTTTCCGAGTTTTCACCGATAATTCCGTCAGAGACTTAAGTACGAGCATTTTTGTGCGAGCAGCTGCGCAAGTTAAGTGTGTATACAATAGCGATCGTTATTGAAATAAAAATAAAAAGTTATCCATGATATCGAGATAGTAGAATCAATGAACGGCAACGCTATGAATGTGTAACGCGTTACGCGAAACACGTTCCGGATCGTACAGTATTATTCCGGTTTGTAGTCCGCGTTACGAGTATCGGCGGTGCTGATCACTTGTGTATGCAAAATCGGCTGCGTCTCGTGTTCAAGAGAAAAGAGAAAGTGATTCGATTCGGCCTTAAGTCGTAAGCACTGCATGCAAGCATCTCGCATATAAGTAATGCGCGTAACTGTTTAATCGGCATGACATTTAAACGACGTTCGCGTCAACCGGCTCGCTGAGGACGGGAAGTGCGAAAAGTAGATGGACGTTATACGTGCGTTGCATTGAAAAGTAGAAACTGCAATGGAAATTAAAGTAACTGTCTATCGACACTGTTTCACATTCATCGTTATTCTCATTGCAGAATCGAATTAATTCCATTTGCCATTATCGCGTGAAACGACGGAAAGATCATTAAGTAATAATTTTCATTTGTCTTGTAATATGATATAACAAGACGACAGGAACATTCATTGCTTATTGCTTAATATCTTTTATCTAAAGATTTCTTGCTTAAATTTCTTTAGGCTTATTTATGATATATTCAAATCTAATTCTACCTTATTATTAATCGAAGTAAATTTGTTAAAACATTTCATTTGAAATAATTTATAATTCGCATTTAAGAATTCAAGATATAATTCTATAATTTTATATGCTAGATATTTTAATACATATATGCAAACGTACATACTCTCTAAATTCTTCAAAGTGGAATCTTATTTTAAAAAGTGAAAATTAATCCAATCTTAAAAAAAGAGTAGTTCAATTTTCTTTAAGATTGAGATTTCACGTCTTTGACGCGAGATTTTTCACTTTAAAAGTTTTAGAGAGTATATATTAGAATACACATCATGAGATGTATTTTAATTCTTTAAAAGCATTAAATCTATTTTGGAGTTTGAGAATTCGCGAAAATTTTAAGATAATTTTATTTATAATTTTATACGTCAAATATATTTCGATATATATTTCTCTATATATTTTATACACGAAAAAAAAACAAATTTTATGAAATATCTAAAAATTATGTAGATACACAATTTGAAAATAATTTTATTAGATCATCAAAATAATTGTGTATAAAACTCAAACATGATGAGCATGCTGCATAAATTTTGACATTCTAATAAAGATTGAGCTATATAATTATTTTGATAGTCTAACAAAATTATTTTCAGGTTTGTATCTAATTAAATTTTTAAATATTTCAGTAAAATTATTCCGTATATGTATCTTAATTATTCAAATATTTTCCCTTACGCGAAAGATTACACGGTAAATAAAATTCTACCCGGCATTCTAATACGGATTTAGAAATCGTTTAAGTAGTAAAGTCAGTTTTATAGGGCACATAAAATCGGAAACAGAATTTTATCACAAACTATGTCCATATAAAGTGAGAGTAAGTTATCATTAGTTTTATCTAACTGATATCTAGAAACGGATTCACTGACCGAGCCATATTGACTAGAAATAGTGCATTAAGCAGATTTTAACACATGCAGTCCATATTGGAATGCGGATAGTGAGGTGGGCAAGCCGAGTTAAGTCGGTAAATTCGTTTCTTAATGCTGGTTCCGAGTCGAAGCACGCACGTACCGGCTCGTTTACGCGGAATACAGCGAAATAATCTGTGCGCGACTTTCCTGTCGGGCGCTTTCACTCGCGCTCGCCAGACTCGTTGATTTTCGGCCTTCGCAATGTCGATCAGGACGCGCGAATTTCCATCCTGATCCACTTTTCGCCAAACGAAAGGCTGATCAATCATCAGACGGAATCTAGCGGGGGAATAACAAAGCATTCCTTATTCTTGTGCAAGTCAACCCCGCCCTTTCATTCATACATATTAGTCTTGCGCAATAAAATTTTTTTTAATGATCGATAAAAGCGATCGATTCAATTGCTTAAGAATTATTTTTCGTACATTGAAAAAAAGTTTACTAAATCATAACATTTATTTATTATTTCTTTGAATAGTACCAAGTAAACATTTATTTACAGTAAACGTAATAAAAAAAATAATCATATCAAAATAATGATTTTTGTATCAAATTAATGTATGTTTAGTAAATATTTACTCAAAACTATTCAAACAAATATTTATTGAAATTTAGTAGCTTTTCATAGAAAATTAAAGTGTTAACAAATTAGTTCTTTTTCATAAATTCTTTCTTTTATCTTTTAATATTTTTATTTTTTTAATTATAATTGCAATACAATATATTGTTTGTTGTCGCTTGAGAGAACACTCGATAAATACATCTAGTTTATATCTATTTTTCTCTGAAGTATTGAAGAAATCACAAGTTAGAACTTGTTCGTAATAGCAAACTAGTATTCGCGATGTATATATTCTTTGTGTAAACTGAATTGCAACAGTCCTCTCTCTTTTCCGTCAATTGAATTATTTTACTTAAAAAAAGCGCACGAGAATTATCTAAGTTCTGCGTGCTTGACAGACTCGTGGTGCCGGTATTTAAATATCCGTCGCACAGCCTGGCACATTCACATTGCTGAAATCTCGCCGTGCCATTTGAGGGTTAAAAGATGAAAGTGATTGGAACAGGTGGGGTCACACGCGAAAGAAAGCGGACATAATTCGGGATGCAACGATACGCGCGAAAATAACAAAACATAAAAAAAAATGACCGCAATGAGTAAAAGAAATCATATGTTCCTTTTTAAAGGCGAACAACCTGTTATTTTTAATTATTATTTATGGTATCACATGAAAAGAAAAATTACTGTCGTTATATAATTTATTTCGTGTCGTAGTTTGAAAAGGAAACTCAACAGATATTAATTAATGATACGTTTGTAATAAAATATCATGTTACATAATTAAAATATTCAATAGATGTATTATGTAAGATTTGATTGCGTGAAGTAATATGATATCGCTGATAATACATAAACAGATATATTTTGGGACATGTGCAATTAACGAGATAATTTTAAAGATATCACTGCATAATAATTTATTATATTAAACGTTATAAAAAACAATTTCTAACAAGACATAAGAAATAATTATAAAAAAGCAACTAGTAAATTATACAAAAAAAAAGAAATAAATAAATTATGATGAATAAAAAATGATAAGAATTTTTGTAGAATTAAACTAATTGATATTTCAAAAATTTTTCAATTTACTGTAATCTACGAATATTATTAAATAATTGAATTCCTGAATGAAATTAAAATACATACAATAAAACTTTCTCCACTTGATTATATCTCACATATACATATTGTGTTCTATGAAAAGGTTTTAAAAACTTGATTTTATGTGAAAAATATAAAACATGATGCTCGAGAAAAATAAAGAATGCGTCAAAAATAATTGAACAGAGAAAAACTAACAAACAGAGAAACATTTAAACATTTGCAAAACTAATTTCGATTTTGAAGAAATTCGAACAAGTTATTTTCGCGATAAGATATTTTTCGCAATAAATTTTTTACAGTGTTTAAGATGCTCATTGCATTATTAATAAATTGACAATCAATTTAATTGGTGATGTTATTATTTTAATTTCAGTTTATGATTGAATTTCAAATCTAACAGTAATAGCGCAGTTTATACAATTGTATTTAAAATTTTCATATAAATATTAGTAGATACCAAGATCTATCTTCGACCGTATTTAATTTTTCTTCACTTATATCCATTTCTATCAACTTACAATTAGATTAACTTTATTTTTTTATACAAAATGTATCAAGTATATCAGAATTTTTATGTATTTATATGTATCAACCATATTATTTTATCAATTCTTGCTTTTCAGTAAAATGTATTTTTTTTTATTGTATTAACATTTAAAAATTTGTAAATTACACCAATAAAAATTATGGAAACCAAATATATATAGTAAATCAATCTCAGTTTAACTTGCTCTTCCTCTTTTTCCAGTTCTAAAAAAAATTAGAATAACATGAAGAGCAAATCAAATCAAAATTTAAGTTAATCTACGAAATAGATATTATTTAATTTATTTTCACGGGGGAGGTAGCGGCAATCAGGATAAGGGACAGTTGGAGAACACTTTGATGCCTCGCTGGGTACTCACGATCACCGCGACACGCATGGCCGGGATCCTGTTGTTGTCCCTCGTTGTCGCAACAGTGGACACGCTGGGTGTGGTGCTGTGGCGCGTTTGTGCTTCACACTACCGCGAACGACTCCCCGTCTCCGCGTTCTTATACTTATATCCCCGTTTAAATTCCTATGGCACGGCCAGCGGGCAGCACGCAGACCAACTTTCCATCCAGCCGTCCAGGAATTGTGTTCCACGCTCGCGCCCGCGAGCGGACGCGAAACGATTCACTATCGTGCCGTCTTCCCGGCTCCATCAGCTTGCAGTCTGCAGAGAAGACGCTCCTCTTGCCCGCAAGGATCGCCGATCCGCGCGAGATTGATGCTGTGCAGATGGCAGATTTCAGTGTGAGTTAAAGCGGTATTTTCTCTAGGCGCCGTAAGCTCATTCTATCTTGATCGCTCATTACGGAAGGAAGATAAAATGAATTCATATAACAGCTTGGAGCAACATTGCTGTAACGTTTGCAATATGACTCACGCTGTAATAAGACAGGTGAAGTATTGCGCATAACAGCGATAACACACTGGAACAGTCAATCAAATTTGGTTTCAAATTCACTCTCCTACTGCACATTCATGTGAACGTTTTATCTGTCTTATTACACTATCATGTTACTGTAATATTGCTGAAACGTTGCAATTGCCGGAATGATTTGTGCGGAATGGAAAGCTTAAGCCAAAAACACATGGAAAAACGCAAGCAATTCGATCAATCAGAGTAGAAAACATTGCCTTACATTTTCTATTGTGATTGGCCTCAATTCGCCTGCAATTTATGTCTTACTATTTTACATTTTTCTGTATACAATATTTCTAGTTTTACAATACGTGAGCGTTTAAAGCAAAACACAACCTAATTCAACGTGAATATACTGCCGTTCGTGAACTTGAATTCGCATTGAATTCTGCCTCCTTCTGCTCTTCCCTTTGCTTAATATTAAAAGTGTCGAGTGTGTGGTAAAAGTGGTCATTATTGACCGCGCGAGAGTTTCTATTTTTTAAATTAATATTACATTTCTATATAAAAGATAGGATTCTAAAATTTTTTTACTTTTCAATAACTAGATATGTCTTTTATACTAATTAAATAATTTGTTTTTACTTTTTTAATTTTCATAATAATTCACTTGATCCTTTTAGTGAGTAAGAAATGCTGGTTTTAGTATCAATCTTATATTGCTCGAGCAAGAAATGAACGAGGATCAATGGAAAATCTCTCGACTTATTCACGTATTGCGACTGGATTGTTGGTCATTGCTACTTTACGATGACATTTGATTTGTACTTTCCCTTCTTGAGAATCATAAATAAATTAGAAGAGATATATCCATATAATTGATAAATAGATTAGAAGTCATATCTAATATGTAAAATTTCTGAATAGCTGAAGGATTACCGACAGTAACACCTGTCTAATAAATGTAACTGTTTCTGACAATAACTGACAAGAGGATTACACAAACGAATGAGAGAATCCCATAATGACTACTGAAATCTCAAGATGACTAGCATTCGCAACATCATTAATCTTACCGCGAATCGCCACTTATTACTGTGTATTTTATACAGATGCGTCTCAATTAGTAAATTTTCTCTATCATCAGAACTCAAGGCAAAGATTAATGAGATATTTTGCGACACGTAGATGTGCAACTGAAGAGCTCCTTGTCTATAGCTGTAGAAAATGTATATTTTACAGTGTTGAATATAGATGTATAATGTTGACTAATATTTTATTTATTCCTCACAAAAGAATATTTCCAAATGTAAATCTCAAAATAAAGTCAAATATATAGATAATATGTTATTTAAGTTATTCAAGTAATTAATAAATAAAATTCACAACTTATAATTCTTAACTGTGCAATAAAAAAATATATATATCAAGTGTTCGAATTTTTACATACACGTATATTATTAGCTATATTATTTTGTCAATTGTTGTTTTTTCAACAAAATGTAGCTTTTCTGATAGGAAACATTTCGAAATTTATAAATTATACTGATAAAAATAGTGGAACCAATATTTACACTCGAGAGATTTATATGTTCCCTTATTAGAGAAAAATATAATGATGACAACTTTATAAAAGTAATAACTATAAAATTTTTATATGTAGAATTTATGTATGTAGAATTTATGTACATAGTTGAATAAACTATTTTATCATTAATGCAATTCTAAAATAATGTATTCAACTATCAAACTTGTATAGTATTGTCACCTCTGTAGTTCCTACTAGTACGTCTTTTTCTTCGAGTGCGAGAATGTCATAAGAATGCATTGCACGACATTATTTCGGATTGAGATCTCGTTGCGGATAAAGCGATTTGAGGAAGTGTCATAGCGCGAGCAGAATAATTTGTCATAATAGCACACGTCAATGACTAGTCAACAATATAAACCTCATATAAATGTGAGGAAGGTAATGATTACGCAATATCCTGTCAACTTTATGCTTCGCGCGAAAGTGCTGTTACAGTAATATCATTCTTTCTAATGAACGAAACTGGTTTCTGTTTGTAATAAACGTTTATGGCTATAAAGATCGAAAATTAGATAATATTCAATATTATTCTCGTTTATATTTAAATAAAATTGTAATGTTTTTCATGCTCCTTTCCTATTTATGATGAGATTTGTCGATAATTAATTGAGTTAAAGTAAGATGAGAATTAATGTCATAAATCGATGTTTTATAATTTATAATAAAGGGAACCCTTTTTCGTTTACAACATTTATCGTAGTTATAAAAGAATATTTATCATAATTATAAAAGATGGAAAATAATTCAATGTTTCTATCTCATTTATATTTAAGAGATTTTTTATGTTTCTTTCTTATTTATTAGAATTGATTAGAATTGATAATATGTTTAATTATTAGATATAAAGTAGAATATTGACAAGAATTAATATTAAATATCAATATGACGTTTAGTAAAATCGTTCTTTCCATGTAGATTATTCTGAATGAATATGTTCTAAATAATTTTTTCGACAGAATTTATCGTTACCGGCAGGCGGACAGCGGATGAGAGCATGACTAGAACTTTTTGTGACTTGTATTCTTCAGTGGAAGTTGCTAGAAACTCGTCCTGCACTCTCTTTCACAGGAGTGTAGTTGAATCAGGATGCACCTGGTACCAAGTCGGTACTATATTCTCAATATTATTGAGGTATTTTCTTTAATTGCATATTTTTTCAAGCTCGTATTCTTAATTTCACTACATTTTTATAGGCCACATGACTCTTTACAAACTCGCAAAAGAAATTAAAATACGACGCCTATAAAGTGAAAAATCTTAATTGATAAAATAATCTGTATCTGAGAATCTAAATAATGATATTCATAATATTAATGACGTTATCAATTATGTTAGTTTATTGATCAATAAAATTTTGGAAAATATACGCTTTATTCTTCAAGGGTGCTCGCCAATCTTTATAGTTAGTACCTTAGACGATTTGTATAATTTCAACTAAAATTTAAAATAGAATTTTATTTATAATTTTATGTAATACAAAAAAAATTCACAGTCATTCACGAAAAGACACAGAATAGACAGATGTATATCAAAATTTTTTATTTAATTATAAATAATTAAAACATTATAAATAATATTATAAAAACTTTATTAAAATTTGACACAAATTGCACACCATTTAAAGTGATCTTGAAATTTATCATCTTAAACATATTG